TATCTACATATTTGTGCTATTTTTCTGGTACTTGTACATGCATAGATTCATGCATATAGTTAATTTTGTATTAGAATGTAGCCTTTACTATAGACATATATTCCACGATTACCATCTCGTATAGTAAATACAACGAAACACCGCATTATGCACTTGAACTGCTTGCGTTTGTTTGTTTGTTTATTCACGCTGCTAATAAATTAATAGTCGATGCAACCATTCGTGTGCAGAGACTATACTGCCGCACAGAAATGCACATCCAGAATCATACATATTCCTCTCTATCTATCACACACACACACCATCTCACGCGCGCTAGTTTTTCTATCGATGTTCTCTTGCGACGGCTTGTAGAGTGCTGGAGAGCACCTTGTTTGTATATCAATTCGAATGGATCACGTCAGATGGGGTGCAAGTATGACACACTTACAGCGTGCAGCACACATCCACAAACATACTGCTGTGCACACATGCTAGCAACTCGCCAGACCACTCAGTCTGATGTTGTCATTGACCTTCTCCGTGGATGGGCTAAACCCTAAAACCCTACTAGATTGCCTGGGAGTATCTGTCGCCGTACTGGTTCGACTTTGTCAGGTGAGCGTGGTACAAGTATGTTAGCCATAGTTGTACCAGGCGTGTGCTACAGGTTGTTGTTTGCCTATATCGAGGAATGGTATATAGGTACATATACATCCATATACATCCATATACAATAACAGCTGTATATCTCCTTGTGCATTGTTGCAAGAGTACGGGTTTCTGTGGGCATATATATATATATTATAGAAGTCTGCTTCAATCACCCCGAATCTCATTAGTGTCCTCCGGCTCGCCGCTTTCCGTGACTATGAACGGTGGTGGTGTGTGGGTGATCATTCTCTGAGGTGTTGAGCGCCAATTTAATATTCTCACAGGCGGGGCACACTCACAAACCCAGCTCTTTTAAATGCAATCCCGGCCCAATCACATACAGTCAGTGTTGATCTAGTGTTGTTTACAATATGTACCGTACTTCTCCGATGGCACAAAGCGACCCACGGCCCTCGGGACAGCAACTACTGATTGCTGTATGCGATCTGGCCAGTATCGTACATACTTAAACTACAACCCTAAAACCCTAAAACATATACATATCTGTTTAGTGTGTTGCAGCGTGGTGGTACTTTGGCCCGTTGGTGTTTACCATAGTCATCGCGAATGGGTTGCATTGGGTGACAGTGCTGGAGATTGGGTGTGTATGGCCTCGCAATGATCTTGTTGTTGTGCGCAAGTATTTTAACTTGTAGACGGCTTTATCATCTGTGCATGCGTAGCTGTCTGCATGATACATAAGAATAGGTACACACAAATATTTTTAACTTGTAGACGGCTGTATCACCTGTTCATGCGTAGCTGTCTGCATGGTACATAAGAATAAGTACACACAAATATTTTTAACTTGTAGACGACTTTATCATCTGTTCACGCGCAGCTGTCTACATGATACATAAGAATAAGTACACACAAATATTCTTAGCTTGTAGACGGCTTTATTATTTGTTCACGCGTAGCTGTCTGAATGGTACATAAGAATAAGTACACATAAATATTCTTAACTTGTAGACGGCTTTATCATCTGTTCACGCGTAGCTGTCTGCATGATACATAAGAATAGGTACACACAAATGTTCTTAATTTGTAGACGGCCTTATCATCTGTTCATGCGTAGCTGTCTGCATGGTACATAAGAATAAGTACACTTAAATATTCTAACTTGTAGACGGCTTTATCATCTGTTCACGCGTAGCTGTCTGCATGATTCATACGATTAAGTGCACACAAATATTCTTAACTTGTAGACGACTTTATCATCTGTTCATGCGTAGCTGTCTGCATGATAAATAAGACTGAGTACAGTGATCGTGGGTGCTCGGCGTCTGCTGCGTTACCTATGCCTATGCGTATAGCCACAGTGAGCAATGGCGTGTACTTGAATGGTATGGTTGTCTCTAGTACTTATCCCTGTCCAGAAGATGTTCATCCAGTGCTCTTAGATAACTTATCTGGATGCTGACGAGCCCGCAAACCCTACCGCATCATTTACTTATATTCTCACGTGCTGATTTTCTCACGTGCTTGGTTCCTCACATGCTTATATTCTCACGTGCTTATTTTCTCACATGCTTAATTTCCCACAGGTGGCAGCTCCTGTGGGATTCTGAGCTGGTCTACCTAAAAGAAGACATTCTGACGGAAAACGTTCTGCTGACGCGATTTCTCACCCACTGGACTGATTTAGTTCTGGAACGCATGCCCTTCTACTGTATAGTCCGAATCCTGGATCAGGTGCGTAGGTACAAACTTAGTTTATTTGATCACGCGCATAGGTATAAACTTAGGTTATTTAGTTATTATATACGCCTTATCAGAGTCTAGTTGCTGCTCGGCGTATGGAGTGTAACCGTGACAGCTATGCATCGGGTGGTACAACTTAAGGGCGCTTATGTATATACGTTACAGGCATTCATCGGTTGATACATCTGAATTGCCCACATGCACATACGTTAACGATTATGTTGTATATAGTACTAATACATGTGAAGTGCTCACACGCATATACGTTAACGATTATGTTGTATATAGTACTGATACATCTGAAGTGTTCTCACTCATATACGTTAACGATTATGTTGTATATAGTACTCGTCCCATTTAAGTTAACGGTCAGTCGTGCGCGTTGTGCTTTCACATCCCTAAAGCATATGGGGACACCATAGAGTGGGTGATATTTGGGGTCTTTTGTAAGTTTTGTATTTATGCCGCGAGTTTAACGTTTCACGTGTGATAGAATTTACCTACATGCGTTCTATCGCCTATTCTGGCACGGAACAGGAAGCGTACAAGCGTGGTATATAGTTAGGACTATCGCGTGGATTCTTGGCTGGTTAAGTGCTTTAGTTGTGTGACAGAATACTGTTTATCACCGTCGGCACTAGTCCCTCCTCTGCCAGCAGCACAGACGCTCAGTCGACTACACACATGTGGTGTTTCGTAGTTGACTATACACATGTGGTGTTACGTTAGCCTCAATGCACGGTACACTTCCACCGTCAAAGTATACTCGACAGAATTGCTCCACCATACATCCAACTCCCGTAGTGGACTCTTAGCCTGGTTTTATGAATTCTAAACCCGGGTTATTCCCTTGGTGCACAGTTTTTCCTGCACGGCCCGAAAATCTTGTTCCGGGCATGTTTGGCCATGATGTTGAGCACCAAAGAGAAGGTATGTCTGTCACCTAGGTTTTACTGTGACGTACATTTGCTGTGCATAGCTACAACCTATAGTCTTATACTGTGACAGTTTCGCATAGTCTCTCAGTTGTCATTCGTAGTACTGCTGCGGTGTGGCTTCATTCTATAGTCTGATGCTGTGTCATCGTCGCATGTTTATCATCTATAGCACCTGGATCTCTCAGTTGTCATTCGTAGTACTACTGTGGTGTGGCTTCATTCTATAGTCTGATACTGTGTCATCGTTGCATAGTTACCATCTATAGCACTTGGATATCTCAGTTGTCATTCGTAGTACTACTGTGGCGTGGCTTGATTCTATAGTCTGATACTGTGTCATCGTCGCATGGTTATCATATATAATTCTTGAATCTCACAGTTGCATTTCGCTTGGATTATTGATTACTCTCTGTTCTTATCCCAAATCTGAATGAATAGATTAGTCTAGAGGTACACGTGATGCACACGCAGTATGTTATATATATATGGTGTGTACGAAACAATTCACACACTTGACCCCTGGAATTTTTAGCTCAGATGTATGGGGTGTCCTGCTTTCAACTTTGGACCGTGTTTTGCCCTCGATAAAGGGCAGGCGGTCAATCATAAATATAGACCTGATATGCACGCAACTACATATCCTCATCTTCACAGTCAAACACCTACGAAATTGGCGACTTAAACGAACCCAAATGGAACTGTCCTGATTTCCCAATAGGTGCGCGAGAAATTGGGGCCTGCGTTCGATCTTGCCGAGTCCATTCTCAAAACCCGAAGTACAAAGGAGGACGATATGGGCGTAGAGCTGTTGCAAGGAGAAGAACGCGCTGCACCCGCAATGAGGTCACATGAGGTGGGTGGGTGGTAGAATATTGGCCCTGTTTATTTCATTGCTTGTGCGCAGGCTTGTTTCCGTATGGATTGAAGTGTATGCAGTTCCCGTATTTGCGTACTGTGGCAAATGTATATGTATATATATATATATATATATACATATACATATACATATACATATACACACACACACACAC